GATTCTGATTCCGCAGAACTGGGTTGGGTGTGAAAAAGTATTTGTTGTTAATATTCTTTTTTCATTCGGTTTTTCCAGTTACGAGTCCTTTTTTAAGGCTGATCGTTTTGTGTTCATTTTGTTTAGTTCCTTTTTTTCGTAACAGATTTAATGTTTAGTATAGAGCTTAGAAAAAAATTCGCAGTGTGAGATAGGCAAGAAGTAAGGCATGTAGCAACATCAGCACGGCAAAGGGCACTCCTTTAAAGGCAAGGAATGGCAAAAATATTTTAAGTGAAGTGATAGCGATTGCTGTATGAGTTGTACGATTTTTGAATCAAGCCCGGGCAACGCCGGGTCATGCTGCTAGTCGTATAAATGTCTACCCCTCTTTCGTGAATCGGATTTGCGTATACGTTTTGAGTCGTGTGTAAACCTGACCTGTATCTTCTTTCTTTTTTAATCTAGCGTAAATCTGATCTATGTTTAATTTTTCAAATCGTATGTAAACTGTATCTATGTCTATATTTTTTACTCTATGATATATTATAAAATTAACAAATCAATAAAAAAAATATCCATGCAGACAGAAGACCGAAAACAGCGTCGGAGTAAAAGAAAAAGAAAATAAGAAAATTGCTTCAAATGAATTAAAGTATTACAGTAAAGGCTTTTGTTTTTTGTTTTATTTTTATTTTTTTAATTAAGTGGTAATTACCTCCCTTTTGTAATGGCAACATTGGTCTCCAGCTTTGCTTTGTAACTAGTTTAGGTCAACCCTGAAGTGAAAAACGTGGAAAAGGCAATGGTAAACTATGCCACTAAATTTTCCCTGAGCAGTTCTAGAAAGAACGGTTATTAAATAAATGATAACGGTGAAGTGTCGAAATTGTCAACATTATAAAAATATGCAATTTTAATTATTTATCGTTACTGATTACTTTCGAAGTACCTTTTGTAAAAATATATATTATTAATATTCCACACCTTGTATATATTCTTCAAAACAGGGCCAATACAAGGGTCTCGTAAGCCTCCCACTGAATCAATTATAGGCCCCCAAATCTATGATACGAGGCCTGTCACTCTACTGCATCTCAATTTTCATAAGGCAGTATTTACATAAAATACAAATTTGATTGTAACCTAATTATGTACAATAATGGATCATATGCAATAGAGGTGAACAATTCAACTAGAAAAATGGAAAATAAATACAATGTATCAAAATACAAATAAAAGACGTCATTTTATCTTAAATTAATCAACAATGTTTTGCGGCAATTTTTAACATCAACTTAAGATTTTAGTTGTTAAAATTTTGAATAAATAAAAAATAGTGAATTTTATATCGTGTTTTTTTCGAGGTTTAGCATGAGCAAAACAAAATTCGCGGATTTGGACAAAACAAATGAAAGTACAATGACATCAAAATCCGTGAAAATTTTTCATCATTTAATAAGTCAGTTGGGCTTAGTTTAATTTCAAACGTATACATTTATCAAGAGCTCCTTGATAAAATCAAAATAAAAATCAGGAATTTTACTGGCCCTTAAAAATCAGGAATATTATTGGCACTTAAAAAACAGGAATACTATTGGCATTTAAAAATCAGGAATATTACTGGCCTTTTACAAATCAGGAATATTATTGGCACTTAAAAATCAGGAATATTATTGACCTTTAAAAATCAGGAATATTACTGGCCCTTAAAAATCAGGAATATTATTGGCCTTTAAAAATCAGGAATATTATTGACCTTTAAAAATCAGGAATATTACTGGCCCTTAAAAATCAGGAATATTACTGGCCCTTAAAAATCAAGAATATTATTGGCCCTTAAAAATCAGGAATATTATTGGCACTTAAAAATCAGGAATATTACTGGCCTTTAAAAATTAGGAATATTATAGACCCTTAAAAATCGGGAATATTACTGGTCTTTTACAAATCAGGAATATTATTGGAACTTAAAAATCAGGAATATTATTGACCTTTAAAAATCAGGAATATTACTGGCCCTTAAAAATAAGGAATATTATTGGCCTTTAAAAATCAGGAATATTATTGGCCCTTAAAAATCAGGAATATTATTGACCTTTAAAAATCAGGAATATTACTGACCCTTAAAAATCAGGAATATTACTAGCCCTTAAAAATCAGGAATATTATTGGCCCTTAAAAATCAGGAATATTAGTGGCCCTTAAAAATCAGGAATATTATTGGCCTTTAAAAATCAGGAATATTATTGGCCCTTAAAAATCAGGAATGTTATTGACCTTTAAAAATCAGGAATATTACTGACCCTTAAAAATCAGGAATATTACTGGCCCTTAAAAATCAGGAATATTACTGGCCTTTTACAAATCAGGAATATTATTGGCAATTAAAAATCAGGAATATTAGTGGCCCTTAAAAATCAGGAATATTATTGGCCTTTAAAAATCAGGAATATTACTGGCCCTTAAAAATCAGGAATATTATTGGCCCTTAAAAATCAGGAATATTATTGCCGTCTTAATTTCAGTCACTTTCCCACCGCCGTAAGATTGCTCCCACCTCCGCTCTTTGCCTTTTCTATAAATACTTACATGGTAAGTGTTCGCTATGATGCTTAGACTTTAAGGACAGTATTATACTGGCGACCAGGCCAAATAAATTCTGTTGATCTATCTAGATGTAACCGTAGCTTCTATGCTCACAGTTTCTTTTCTCGCAATTCTCGCTTGTGGAACTAACCTTCCGGCGCCATGCTTTCCAGCCAAGTTTAATCTGCAAAAATTTAAATGCAAAGTCAAACACTATCTACTCCCCTCCTGATTTCTCTTTAGTTTCTGCTTCTAACTCTTTCACCCCTTGTGTCTCAGTGGCTTTATTGGCTTGCTTGGGATAGACTCGATTATGTTGCTAAGATACAAAGGGTTACAAAGCACTGCCTGGGGCCCCCAATCAAGGTATATTGATTTTCCAAGCGTAGTTTAGATGTGGTACAAGGCCGAATGTATAGGGCACCCAGTGAGGATCGAACTCACGACTCAGTCGTAATTGTTCTAACGAGACAAGCTTGCTAACCATTACACCACCTCGAGGTGACCCCCGCCCCGAAATCAGGGTATAGTATGTGAAGACCTGTCTTAAAATAAACAACGTGTTTTCTACCTCTAGGAAGGTGATTTATTTTTTCTGATCAAAAGTTATCAAAGTCGCTAACTCGTATCAATTTGTTGTAATCACACAGTCATTATAAACTCCTCGGAGATCCTCTTATCTAAGTAACCACAGATAAACTTATGATGACTCAACGCAGGCTTTGTTTTATGTCGGTCACTATCGGTCCCCTGGGGGTCTGCAAAGGTATTTTAAGGTTAGTACACGCAGATGACACCGTGTTCATGGCACACACACACACATGCACGCACACGCGCGCACGCATACACACGCATACTCGCACACACGCATACCCACACACACGCATACCCACACACACATACACACACACATACACACACACGCATACACACATACACATACATACACACATATACACACACGCATACACACATACACGCACATACACATACACGCATACACACACATACACACGCATAGACACATACACATACATACATGCACATATATACACACACACATACACACACGCATAGACACATACACATACATACATACACATATACACACACACACGCATACACACACTCATACACACACTCATACACACACAAATAGCGCAGGAAATCCTAGATAAAACAGTAAAGCGGGAAGTAAAAAAAAATGCTTGCTTCAAGGAGGCAGAAAATATGTTCCTCAGCAAGAAAAACAACGCAAAGTACGAGTTTTGAATGGGGGTGGGCAAAAACAAGCAAGCACGAACATTTAAATCTTTGGGAAGTGTTTTATTGATTGATTTGTTTGTTGATAGCACATTGACTCCTTATGGGTCATTTAATACCGAAATTTAATTTTCTTGAGAGCTTTGAAGTAATAAAAATATTATATATGTTATTCTGCTTTCACAGTTGAATACATGGTAAATGATACTCAGCTTTTATGCGTATACATGTTTCTTTGGATATGATTACTAGAGGCGGTGATATGTCTGTTTTTGTTGTAGTTTTCTTGAAATTATATTTTGGAATACATTTTGATTTAAGAAATTGTGGGATATTATATCGATTAATGAGAGTAAAATGCCGGTTGAAAAGCTTAAGATTGTAGAAATGTGGTACAAGAAACATTATCATTGGAGTCTGTTCCATAGGACAGTGGTTCACGGTAAGAAGCTGTTCGAGTGGAACTTACTTCTCACCAATGGAATACAGAGGGTTATGGTTGGCTTGCTACAATGTAAGTGGCATAGCGTGTTCTTGCCGTGAAGGTTTCAACTAACGTAACCAGGGAATGTAGTTCGTCCGAGCACTTTCCGTGGAGGTAGCGATAGAACAGCGAGAGGCTTGTCACATCCCACCTGTGGGAGAGAGTTTGGGGAATGGAGAATAATTCGTCACGCACAGGGGCATGGAGACGCTTTTGGACTCTACCGAGGCTGGAGCATGAGGTCTGGGCAGCTCTCGTCAAAATATCACAACAGTACTTCATTTTTGACCTGATCATGCTCTTGTAATGGTAGAAGATAGCAGGAGGTGTCAGCTATTTACTGGATCGGTACAGGGACGCGGCCATTTTACCTGCATCCTTAGCAATGGATCGTATGTACAAGCTCCACTTGAGATCAGGTGCTAGATTCGATGCTTTCCTCCGTCACTCATGCTGGGAGTGTCGGCCAGATCAATATTATCACGGTCATTTCTTTTACAAATCAACTATGGTGAGATTCAACACACGCAAACTACACACGCAAGAGGATACTGAAAAGATCTCAGCCGAACAAAGAAGATTTTTTATTTTTGGTCATCTGGTCAAAAATGGATTCAGATGAGATATTTTCAGTACCTCTTCATGTATCTTCCATGTGCCATGAGCCCTCAGGACGTGGGCGATCATGGTTCTCTCTCTCTCTCTCTCTCTCTCATTTCGTAAGATTGCTTTTTTTCCATCTCTCATACAACTGTTTTCTGACAACGAATTACGCAATCTCAATAGGTAAGTTATTTGCTACATACGGTTTTAGCCCTCTTGCATTCAAAATATCTCGCCAAACCCTCTTTTTCTCATTATGTACCCTAATAATGTCAACAGCATCTTTCTTTTTCTAGGCAGAAGGGTCCAGTTAGATTAGAGCAAAAATGAAATATTGCTGTCATATCTTGAGTTTCCAGTTTTGATAGGGTTCAAAATCGTTTATACGATCTTGTGGAGTAAAACTTAACTAACTCTTCAACATCTTTCCTACGTTGCAATCCTGTCGATTCTCTATAGCTGTTTGCGTGGCAAATGTTCAGATGAGGCCCATTCTTTAGTTTCACCGATTCAATTCTTTATTGTTAAGGCACGAGATGCCACTTGCAGGGATTTGAATGACCACCATTTCCCTTCTACTTTCTGGAACAGACTCTAGCGTGGATACTTTTTTAGCCTTAGAACTGCTACATTCTGGAACTGACTCCAGCGTGGATACTTTTTTACCCGTCGAACTGCTACTTTCTGGAAAAAACTCCAGTGTAGATACTTTTTAGCCCTAGAACTTCTACTTTCGAACAGACTCCAGCGTGGCTTTTTTTTCGAACTGCTGCTTTTTGCGTGTGTTTTTTTTTTTTTTTTTTTAGCCCTAGAACTGCTACTTTTCTGAACAGACTCCAGCGTGGATACTTTCCAGAACATGACAGGCTCATGGCTATACCTCGTTGAAACATCGATTCTCGTATGATCACCGAAATTACGCAATGTTGAGTCTGGTCAGTGTCTAGATGGGTGGCCACTTGGGAATACAAAGTACTGTAAGCTTAGATGTGCGGTGGTTTAATAGAGGATGGCTTGGAATTGGAACTCGGTGTGCTAAGTTCCAATTCAAGCTGGGTTCGTTATATTCATTCACGTGCAAATACCTTAGGGAAAGGCATAAATCCACCTCTTCTCTGCTCATGAGAAGTTAATTATTAAGGCTCTTGTCACTAGATTATTAATATCTCAAAATGAAATCTTACACCCTAATTTTTTTCTAGATTTGAATAACCCCCAGAAGATTGATAAGACGTCAAAATCAAATTAATCAATCAATGAAATCAATGTCGAGTCTGGTCACTAAGTAGATAAGTGGCCGTTTGGGAATGCCAGGCGTTGTAAGCATGGGTGTGCGGTTGGTGTAATAAATGTTGGATCGGAATTGGAACTCAATGCCAAGTTCGAATTCATGTCGAGTTCGTTATATTTACTTACACTCAAATAAACCTTGAGAATGGTATAGATTCACCTCTTCTCTCCCCACTTATGGGTTAATTAGCAAGGCCGATATAAGGAAATAATTATTATCTGGAAAAAAATCGTACAATTTGAAAATATTTTTCTGGCTTTAAATAACCTGCAAAAGGTTGGTAACCCGTAAAATAATCGATCCATAGCATTACAATCTGAATCTCAAGTCAAAAGTCAACAGTTATCTATCCCACATTTACTCGTAATTCTTAGTTCCAACTTCTTCTTGCATTCATATAACCCTTCATCCAGTAGCCCTCTACCTCGAGTGGCACTCGAGCCTTGTATTGAGTTAACTTTAATATAGATTTAAAAAAATCGATAGTGTCAGTTTATTACTTAATATCCATAGCCAACAAATCCTTACTTTATGTCCATCAGAATCTTATATTAGGCTGGTTGATTTTACGACATGGCACTTATTGGGTTATCTGATGTAACATCTTGGGTAAACACCCAGTGAGGATCGAATTCAGAACACAGTATTAATGCTAGACTAGCCTTATTTACATTATATACATTGTTCGGACTGTTGCTCTCAACTTCGTTGCAATATTCACAACATTTCGGCCGTTGTAGGCTCCGGCCTTCTTCAGGTGATTGAAATTTCGAATTGAACCCGGTGGACGAAATAAAGGGTTCAGTTCGAAATTCCAATCATCTGAAGAAGGCCGGAGCGTGCAACGACAGAAACGTCGTGAATATGGCAATAAAGACGACGACAACAGAGCGTACAACGGTTGAAACGTCGTTAATATGGCAATAACAATAAGAACAAGAGTCCGAACAATGTAAATGCCGTAAATAATTAATATACCTCATCTCAGAAATATAGAAAGATTCCGAAGAAGGCCGGATCGTACAAAAGCCGAAACGTCGTGAATATAGCAATAACGATGAGGACAACAGTCCGAATAATGTAAATAATTGCAATACCTCATCTCAGAAATATAGAAATACCCCGAAGAAGGCCGAAGCGTGCAATGGCCGAAACTTCGTGATTATGGCAATAACGATGAGGACAACAGTCCGAATAATGTAAATAATTACAATATCTCATCTCAGAAATATAGAAATACCCCGAAGAAGGCCGAAGCGTGCAATGGCCGAAATTTCGTGATTATGGCAATAAAGATGAGGACAACAGTGCGAACAATGTAAATAATGTAAATAGTTACAATATCTCATCTCAGAAATAGAGAAAGATATAGACTAGACTTGTTGGCCATCTAACCGAGATGCGCTTTAGAATTTTCACCATCTTTTCCAAACATGGAAAATAATAGTTTTTTTCATTTAATATTATGAAATAAATATGCAAATGTAACTATAACCACGTGCTTACGTCATTAATAACTGCGCACTATTATGGTAATGGTAGTAGTAATATTAGCCGTTTCCCTATAAGGAAATATTTGGCATTCATTGTCCGAGCAGCTAGTACCATTTTCGACTGAAATTTATAAAACTTTTTACCTTAAAACAATGTTTTTTTAGGAAAACAGGTTTCCTAAGTCCAATATCGTTCTTTCCAGCACTGATAGGGTTCCTTCCCGAACCTTCTATTTGAAGTACTATGAAATGTCAACATTTTACATGTGCTATCAATTTTAGTTGTTGCTGCTGTTGGTAGTCCTCAAGTGACGTGGTTTCTGTTATTTGGTACAGTTCTTTGTTTGGGACTCTGTAGCACCAGTTGACAATGTTCAAAGAAGGATAATCTTTCCCAAGTCGTACAGCCTTTTTTTGACCATTAATTTTGGAAGCGGTTGTATACAGTTTAAAGTTTAGATATTTCTGAACGGTTTTGGCGTCACGCATGACATCCATATCAAAGTCTCATTCTGTCGAGGCTATTTAAGAATATGAGTTTTGAGATTAATGTTTGGTTTTGTAGCAATTTGTGGTGTTGGGCGAAGCTACAACTTTTCTTTAAAAGGAAACATTTGGCATTCATTGAACGAACAGCCACATCCGGTTGCTTATAAAATTTTTCTTTTAAAACAATTTTCCAGGGAAATAGCTTTCTCAATTCCAGTAGCTGTTATCGCTCTTTCCACTATTGATAGAGGGTTTCCTTCCGGACCTTATATTGTGATATATGGATATTGTGTTAATCAAATAAATTGTCTTGTTTGCAAAATAGACGTGACAAGGCTTAAACAGGTTATCAATTCTTTTAATTTTACCTATAGTGATTTTCCAAGCGTAGCTTAGATGTGGCACAAGGCCGAAGTGTATGGGGCACCCAGTGAGGATCGAACTCACTATTCAGTCGTAATTGTTCTAGCAAGACAAGCTTGCTAACCATTACACCGCCTCGAGATGCCCAATATACCGTACCTATAGACGCTAATACATTGGATACTATTGTAAGTGGGGGTAATATGCTAAGTAGTCCATCACTAGCGGTGGTTTACCTACTTCACGGCGCTGTCGAGTATTGTATTTTGTTGATGTTATAAAGATTACCATTTCATTTCTAACCTCTGTCTTGCTTATTCCTCATTCAGTAACCCTTTCTAGGTTACAACACTATCTGTCTGTCTTTTCATTCCTATCTATCTATCTATCTATCTATCTATCTATCTATCTTTTCATTCCTATATATCTATCTATTATATACCATAGCTATGAACATTAATGGGTATGTCCTAATCCTCATAAATCCATTGGACATTATTGTAAGTTGGGGTCCATCACTGACCTCACCTGACTTAATCCATGACCTCAACTGAACTGATCGCTGACCTCTCCTGAACTGATCCACGATCTCAACTGACCTGATCCATGACCTCACCTGACCTGATCCATGACCTAATCTGACCTGATCCAAGACCTCACCTGACCTTATCCATGATCCTACCTGAATAGAATCCATCACCTCACCTGACCTGATCAATGACCTTACCTGAATTGATCCATGACCTCACTTGACCTTATCCATGACCCAACCTGACCCGATCCATGATCTAACCTGACCTGGTCCATGATCTCACCTGAATTGATCCATGATCTCACCCGACCTGATCCATGACCTCCCTCACCTGAATTGATCCATGACCTCACCTGACCTGATCCATGACCTTACCTGAATAGAATCCATGACCTCACCTGACCTGATCAATGACCTTACCTGAATTGATCCATGACCTCATCTGACCTGATCCATGACCTCACCTGATCTGATTCATTACCTCACGTGACCTGATGAACTCGTAAGTGGAGGGGCACGATATATTGGGGTAGACCTCACGCTATAGTAGCACTACTTAATTTGCTTTGAATTGATCAAATGTAGTGTTCAGTTATCAATGATGTAAACAGTTTCAAAATTAACATTTTAAATAGAAACAAAATACACATAACTCTTTAAGATATTAGAGAAGACGGGTGTGGTCATTAAAAGAGAAGACGGGGTGGTCATTAAAAGAGAAGACGGGTGTGGTCGTTAAAAACAATCCTCAATCAAAAGGGGGTGGGGCATGAATAGCAAAATCTTGAGAAGCACGGATTTAAACGAATAAGAGAAGCAAAAGAGAAAATATCCAATAAAGACGATAAATTCTGTTTTTCTATCAATGACAAAACGAAAGCGACCCCAAAAAATAGAAGTCGGTTTAAAAAATTCGAATCTTCAATTCATTCGAAATTAAACAGAAATATTTGCTTTATAGTCAAACTAAAGTTATTCTTTTTATTCTATGAACAAATTTTTATGAAGAAAAAAAAAACGAAATTCATTGACTGGACTGCGAAAGGAGAAAATACGTTTGCATTAAAAAATGTAAGCTGTCCGCCTCAGTTGGGGTGAGTATAATTCCCAGATGTTAAAAAATGCATGTCGTTATCATAGATACATCTACAGTTGTAAAAGGAAGCGCCACCTGGTGTTGAGGTTCAAAATATTCCAAATTCTTTGTTACTTTTTTAAGTTCACAATTTTTTTGTTGTTTTTGTTTTGTATTTCCTGCTTTTTCTTCTTTTTTCCTTTTGTATTTCCTGCTTTTTCTTCTTTTTTGTTTTGTATTTTGCTTTTTTTTTTTTTTTTTTTTTTTTGTATCTCCTGCTTTTTCCTCTTTTTTGTTTTGTGTTTCCTGCTTTTTCTTCTTTTTGTTTTGTATTTCCTGTTTTTTCTTCTTTTTTGTTTTGCATTTCCTGTTTTTTCTTCTTTTTTGTTTTGTATTTCCTGCTTTTTCTTTTTCTTTTTTTTGTTTTGTATCTCCTGCTTTTTCCTCTTTTTTGTTTTGTGTTTCCTGCTTTTTCTTCTTTTTGTTTTGTATTTCCTGTTTTTTTTCCATTTCCAATTCAGTATTTCCTGCTTTTCTTCTTCTTTTTTTTGTTTTGTGTTTTGCTTTTTTACTCTTTTTTTGTTTTGTATTTCCTTTTTTTCTTCTTCCATTTTGTTCTTTTTTTGTTTTTTGTTTCCTGTTTTTCCTTCTTCTTTTTTGTTTTGTATTTCCTGCTTTTTCTTCTTCTTTTCTTCCAGTCCACAATTCAGACCTTCTTTCTTTTCACATTTATTTTTCGTCCATTGTTCATTTTTATTTCTTTCTGTCACTCTTTTCATTCTTTTTTTCTCCCCTTCTGTATTTCTTCTTTCATTAATTCATTCTTCCTTTATTTTTATTTTTCGTCTTCCGTCTCTCATCTTCTTTCTTTCATTTTTCAGTGCCACTTAAGAAGGTGGTATACGCGCATGACTCTTCGCTGATATGTAATCAGTAATCTACCTTAAAGAAAATTATCTACCCGCGCAATCCATGAGACTTTACACGTAGATTGACTGGACATCAAATCCTCAATTTTGTGGAAAAAACTTTGCCTGCCTCGGGGAACCAAACGGAGTCATGTGCCTGTCCACTTAAAAATTTCTCTTGGATGTCCTGTTAAAAAAAACACTATTTTTAATTCATAATGTTGCATGTGTTAAATTATTCAACTTTATAACAAGAAAAATCTGAGGTGGTGTCAAAAATTGCAGCAAAACAGTGTCGATTTTTTTAAGATGGAATTATGATGTGTCTCTAATTTGTATTTAGATACATTGTATTTATTTTCAATTTTTCTACACTGTTTACATTATTCGGACTATTTTCCTTATTTTTTTCGCTATATTTATTAGAACGTTTCGGCCGTTGTACTCTCCGGTCTTCTTCAGCTATGGGTAAATAGCAGGACAAACGAATTCTGTAGCCTTGGATGGCAACTGGTCTACCGCAGAAAGAAATGGCAACCTACTGCGGGAAAAATTCTGCCACGTCAGTCATGTATCAAAAGATACATGAGCGCCTACGTATATATATAATGAAAGCAGAGTCTTTAGAAACCCATAGGTAGTAGTTTATTTCATTGGACCAGGTGCCCATCTCTTCAGACCCAAAATATTTATAACAATAAATGGATTATAAATTCATCCAGACACATCCAAAAAAGCAAAAACATACATATATATATATATATATATATATATATATATATATATATATATATATATATATATATATATAACTTTCATAAAACTGTTGTTGGTACATAATGATATTATTTAATATTTGATACTATTTAAATGCATATTGTATTTTTACTGTTGTATTCTAAAATGTTTGTTGAAGCTCTTAGAAGTTATTGAGTTTTGTGTCATAATGCATTGACTGCCAAACACGAGTTATTCCTTGCTTGGCATTTTCTGATACATTTTCAGCTACGGGCGCCAAGAAAGTTTAATTGATATTTTTAGTGTGAAAACAAAGATAAAACTTCAGTTCGAGCTCTAAATCCACTCATAAAAATGTTTTATTGCCTAATTTGGTTATTTTAAAATTGGCGTTTGAAGACGGATTTCGTAATTGAACTCCGGCAGTCAATGTGTTAACGAGCTTTTAGTCGTTTACAAAATGTGCGTATGTATGTATGTGTGTGTGTGTGTGTGTGTGTGTGTGTGTGTGTGTGTGTGTGTGTGTGTGTGTGTCTTTAATCTACCTTCATGAAAATTATTTACATGTGCAACTTTATTTAAGTAGCACTCGGTGAAAGCAAAGTCCTTAGAAACCCATCGGTAATAGTTTATTTCATGGGATCAGCCGCCCATCTCTTCAGACCCCCCAAAAATTAACTACATTCGCAAAACATAACAAAATTGAATAATTAATATTACTAAGAAAAAGATTTGAACACACCAACTCTCACAAATCATATTTCCCAAAACCTACGCGCTTGCGTATTTTGAACCAGCTCGACTTCTACACTAAATTTTTCCGTTCTATGGAATAATTTGATTAAGTGTGTGTGTGTGTGTGTGTGTGTGTGTGTGTGTGTGTGTGTGTGTGTGTGTGTGTGTGTATCTTTCTTTAATCTACGTTCAGGAAAATTATTTACATGTGCAACTTTATTTAAGTAGCACTCGGTGAATAATGAAGGCTTATTTTGTATATAAACCAGACCTCAGACTAAAATTTATTATTGCATTTCTGAATAATGTTTAAATTGTTTACAGACAGTGATAGTATCAGTTAAAATAATAGTGTCCATTAGATTTGTTTAATCATATGTTATTTGTTTAGTATATTAAATAAAGACTACTTCTTTTTCTTGTCTTATTCCGTATATATCTACTTTTAATGTAGAGAATTTTCTCAAGTCGTAGATCACTTACTTTAGTGATACGTTGTTCTGGTAGATCAGACTTGGAAGGCAAGTCACATACTTAAGTAGCACCTCTCTCTATTATATATATATATATATATATATGTATATATATATATATATATAATGAAAGCAAAGTCCTTAGAAACCCATAGGTAATAGTTTATTTCATGGGATCAGCTGCCTATCTCTTCAGACCCCCAAAAATTTAACTACATTCACAAAACATAACAAAATTGAATAATTAATATTACTAAGAAAAAATTTGAACACACCAACTCTTGCAAATCATATTTCCCAAAACCCACGCGCTTGCGTATTTCGGACCAGCTTGACTTCTACACTAAATTTTTCCGTTCTATGGAATAATTTGATTAAGTGTATGTGTGTGTTTTTATTTTTAATCGACCTTCAGGAAAATTATCTACATGTGCAATCTTATTTAAGTAGCACTCGGTGAATAATGAAGGCTTATTTTGTATATAAACCAGACCTAAGAATTAAAATTTATTTATTGCATTTCTGAATGATGTTCAAATCGTTTTACAGACAGTGATAGTAACAGTTAAAATAATAATTTCCTTTAGATTTGGTTAATCATATGTTACTATTTGTTTAGTATATTAAATAAAGACTACTTCTTTTTCTTGTCTTATATATCTATTTTTAATGTAGAGAATTTTCTCAACTCGTAGATCACGTACTTTAGTGATACGTTGTTCTGGTAGATCAGACTTGGAAAGCAAGTCACATACTTAAGTAGCACCCTCTCTCTCTCTCTCTCTCTCTCTCTCTCTCTCTCTCTCTCTCTCTCTCTCTCTCAATATGTATATATAAGTAATAAACGTGCTTTTAAAATAATTTACTCCCTGTTCTTCCACTGTTGATATCGTCACTTTATGTGTTAAAAACACTTTTAAAAACATTTGAAATCTATATAAATAAATGTGAATGTCAGTGTGTTATACTTTCGTAGCCCAGCAGATACCATTTTGGAATCAGTCCGACTCCATGAGCAAATTAAAAAATTCCCGTGCCGGATCCGAACCCACAATCCTGAAATTTTGTATTCTCAAGTTTTTTTTCCTGCGATTGTTTTCGGATTCCGCCATCTTGGCTTCTACTGATAAAAAACAATTAAAGGGACACAACTCTGTAACTTTCAATATCTCATGTCCAAATGAAAAAATGACTGTTCTCAAATTACAATGTTTCAAAATTAAATTGTCCGTGTTTTAATCTTTACTCCTAGAGGGTGTAGCCCACCATATCATACCATTTTGGAATCAGGTCGACTCTGTGAGAAAATTAAAACATTCCGAAATTTTGGATTCCCAAGTGTTGATTACTACGATTGTTTACGAGTTACATCCCTTAGTTCCACTAACTCAGACAATCCCCCTTCCGCTCGTTTTCCTTTGATAAAAAGCGGATTTCATTCAGACAGCTTCTTCCCAAGAAATGTTACTTTTGTTTAACCAACTCCCGAGAGAATGCTTCCCTGACAACTATAATCTTGGTCATTTTTAAATCCATGGTCAAACAATATCTATTTTACCCTGTCCTCATAATTATCTCTTACTTCTCCCTCCCTTCCAAACTCACTCATTAACCCACTACGTTGAGTGACCCTTGGATTAGCTGCGAAAGGGACATAGAAATAATACAGACAAAACATATATAAAATTGTCATTGAAGTCGACACTTGCGGCTTGACGATTGCGTTTATGATGAATATCCCATAATATAACTTACCTTTATCTATCTATCTAATAAAAACATCGAAATTAAAGACCACAAAAGTAAGGAAATCAAACCTAAAGACATCTAAACTAATGTCATCTACAGATAAGAAAACTAAAGACAGGGAAACTAATGAAATCAAGACTAAAGACATCTAAGCCGCGAAGTTTTGAACTGGCGGGATTAGGATAGATAGATAGATAGATAGATAGATAGATAGATAGATAGATAGATAGATAGATAGATAGATAAAGGACAGCCATAGATAGATAGATAGATAGATAGATAGATAAAGGACAGCCATAGATAGATAGATAGATAGATAGATAGATAGATAGATAAAGGACAGCCATAGATAGATAGATAGATAGATAGATAGATAAAGGACATAGATAGATAGATAGATAGATAGATAGATAGATAAAGGACAGCCATAGATAGATAGATAGATAGATAGATAGATAAAGGATAGATAGATAGATAGATAGATAGATAGATAGATAGATAGATAGATAGATATGAATAGGCTGGGATAGACGGAGGTAAATAGATATGAATTTATTCACTTAGTTTTGAATAGTCTGAGATAAAGAGATAGAGAGATACGTAAACCTAAGAAAGTTGAGATAGATAGTAACAGACATTGATAGATAAACATAAACATGCATTATTAAATATAACAGACAATGAATGCGTACTATATCTATTCATGGGCCGTTCTAATGTTCGAAAGTTTGCTTTCATTTCTGGTGAAAATAAACACAAAAATTGTCCAACATTTGAATATTTTTTAATTAACATTTCATCTAGACGTTGGTTCGGTCTATCGCGTGGTATGACGTCATAGAACCGTATCTTGAACTTACGATCTGCGTTTTCTATTCCGTGGCCGTTATCGTCGCATAGCAATCTTCTGTGTCAACGTAACACAATATCATCTTTGACGGTGGATATCTTTGTTTCATGCCTGTATAACCACATTCTGAGGATGGCTCAGGTGAGTCGAAAGCAGCTTAGGACGAACTTAAAAAAAATATCTAAATTTTTGTCTTTATTTTCATCAGAAATTAAAGCAAATATTTGAACATTAGAACGGCTGCATGATCAGACAAAATAGACAATAATTTTCTATTATATAATAATAATAATAATAATAATAATAATAATGTGTGTGTGTGTGTGTGTGTGTGTGTGTGTGTGTGTGTGTGTGTGCGTACACTCTGAGACATGTGGTATGATGTTTGCGTTGTATCGAAACGGTCCGGGTTCGATTCTCAGTTGTGAATGCACACTGATGATGAGTCCCCAAAAGGTTGAAACGGCCGTCCAGTGCTTTCTACATTCTACTGATGTTTCTTATTCTAGACTCAATGAATTGTTATGTGAAATTAATCAAATCTACAATCTTTGCATATATATATATATATATATATATATATATATATATATATATATATATATATAATTATTTATTTAGAAAATTTATAACATAAACATGTTATAAAATCACTACAAAAATAGCCATTTTGTTTCAACACTCCCGGTGTCTTATCAAGTGATGATGTTGAATGCAAAACAAATGGTTTTAAAAGTTTCAAATTCGTTAACGATCTTTCACAAGGGGAAAACGTTGTTCCAAAAGCTAGAATGACCAATCAAAATACAAGTATAGGAAAATTCAAAAAGCCTGACAACGAAGTCATGTTATAATAGCTATACAGGATATAGCACCAGACTTGTCCAAATCGTGTAACAGCAAAATTGTCCATCCCGCCTAATATTTAATATCTAAGAAAAACAACAAACTAATTAAGTTTAGTTTTTCCATGTTTTTAGATAAGACGTTTAGCCATCTTGATATCATTTGTCATAAGAATCACTGAAAAAGCCTTCAGCAAATGTACCTACATTCATACTCTGACTTCAATCTACTTCTAAGTCGATTCAAGAACCATCAAGAGAAAGGAGAAGTTTCAAAAAGAGGGAACAGTAAAGAGGAAAAACTGGATCAGGAGGTCACAATAGTAAGAGGGATTATCATTTCAACTTAGAGCTAAAGAGATCAATGAGAAAACATCCAACTCAATCCATAAGACGTTTGCCACTTGAAAGAGTATTTGCATCCATGGCAGTCCAATGATCAGTGAAAAATGACTTGAAAATAAAATCGTACTTGAAGCCTGTGAGGCACAGTGCTACTCCAGGACACAATCTAAGAAAGTTAGAGAGAGCGAAGATCATCTTGAATAAGTTGGAAAATGATTCTGGAATATATATATATATATATATATATATATATATATATATATATATATGAAATTTATTTCAATCCTTCATGAGCTTCCGATACTTAACTATGATGATTGATTAATGACGAACAGTCTTCTGTTAAGCTTGAGGAATAATTGTGCATCCTTATTGCTCAAAGTTGAGTTCAATAAAGTTATAAAACCTCGGAGTATTCCAGTAAAATATCTTTAATCATTTCTAAGTTACAACAGTTCAAAGATTAATCTAACAATTGGACAATTTTGCTGTTGCACCATTTGAATAATTTTGCTGTTACCCCTGGTATATATATATATATATATATATATATATATATATATATATATATATATATATATATATATGTATGGTGGACACTCCCGTCGTAGACGACGTATGTGAGTCAGTTAAGCAACTCAGTTCTTAGAAACAAACAGACAGACACCAGCACATATGATTTGATTATAATGGTGAAGGCTTTGTGTAGAACCACCCACACTTTTTGAAGGGCTGAATACAGAGACCCGGTGCAGTTTAATTTCGAATAATGGTTTTCTATGTATACAGATCTTCCCCACTTATAACATTGGCGTAGCACAATCTTTCTAAACCTATATGTCTCTATGTGAACTTGTGGCGTACAAAGCTCATGTGTGTTTCTTCGACATTTAAATTCTTTCACGTTATTTTTGTTGTTGTTTTTTTTTTTATCTCGATGTTGACCATCTTTAGATTTATTGAGATGTCATACGTGTTTAAAGTCCCTTCCCCCTGGTATCGTTCGTTCGTTTGCCTTGTTCGGACCATGTGGCATAAGACAGTCATGTGTTATAAAAGTTCTGTTGGTCACGTTCATTGACAAGTTTATAACACCGTGTCGTCAGGCGACCGACCGGCCGGGCTTTCGCTCCCAGGCTCGCGCCCAATTGTCACAGTTTAATTCTGCAGCCCACCCTCTCTCTCTCTCTCACCCGGGTAACATAATAAAAAGAACATCACCCCCATTCCGCACCCACAGGCCTCAAAGCAAATTGAACTGAAGGCCCACTAGTATAAAAAATAAAAATAAATGTAGCTGATCAAATCATGTGGACACAAGAGCCCTTATCTGACACTTTTGACCGGGATGGAGGGAGGGATAGAGTGTGAAAGAGTGAAATACATCTTGATAGAAGGAGAAAAGCTACCGATGGCAAAGTTAGAATTATTTATTTTCTTTTGCTTTATGAGGCAGTGTAAATAAAATATCAATGAAAAAAACATCTTCAAATATAAAATAAAGATAAACCAAAGTGGGATCGTTCTTGGATGACCACTGAAAAAAGGGAGCAGTAGAAAGGAAAACTGGATCAGGAGGTCACAGCGGGAAGAGGGACCATTATTTCAACTTAGAGCTAAATACATAATAAAGTCCAATAGTGTTATAAAAATCTCGGAGAATTCCAGTAAGATATCTTTGATCGTTTCTAAGTTACAACGGTTCAAAGCATTAATAGGTTTTCAGTAATAGTTCCAACATTCATACCCTGGCTTCCATCTTCAAAGTTTATTCAAGAGAAAGGTGAATGAGTTTAAAAAAGAGGCAACAGTAGAGAGGAAAACTGGATCAGGAGGTCACAACAGGAAGAGGGATCATCATTTCAACTTCGAGCTAAAGAGATCAATTAGAAAAGATCCAACTCAATCCATAAAAAGTTTGGCACGTGAGAGAGGAGTTTCAGCAGTGAAAAAGAATTGAAAATGAAATTGTACGTGAAACCTGTAAGGCACCTTGTTACTCCAGGACAGAAAGTTAGAAGATTAGAGAGGGCGAAGATCATCTTGAATAAGTTTGAAAATGATTCTGGGATATATATATATATATATATATATATATATATATATATATATATATATATATACGAACTTTATTTCAATACTTCATGAGCTTCCGATCCTTAGCTATGATTAATTAATGATGAATATGTCATTTTTGTTTATGATTGATTTCATCACGATTTCCTGTTAAGCTTGGAGAAAAATTATACATGATTGTTGCTTAAAGTAGAGTCTAAATGTGTCATAAAAACTTCGGATAATTCCAGTAAGATATCTTTAATCAATTCTAAGATAAAACTGTTCAAATCTTAATGTAAGAATTGGACAAATTTGCAGTTAAACTATTAGGACAATTTTGCTGTTACGCCTGGTATTGTTTGCTACTTTGAACTGAAATGATAAAGTTATTCAATGACGCATAGGAAATATCTTCCCCTATACACCACCGACACCTGATTATGTTTATTTTGTTTTTTATTATTTATTACCCTTCTTTTTTTTCTTCGCTTTTTGTCACGTAAATTCTATACACTTTTCCTTCACGTTATCTCTCATTTCTGACTGACCCTTTTCTATGTTGCTCTCTTCATATATGTATATCTATCTATTTCACTCTATTCATACCTATCGATTTCCTTTTCGTCTTCATTCTTCCCTCTCTCTCTCTCTCTCTCTCTCTCTCTCTCTCTCTCTATCTATCTATCTATCTATCTATCTCTTTCTGTTCATATGTCTATCTATCTATCTATATCTTTCTGTCTTTTTTCCACACTTTTCTCTGTCAACTACAATGCAATTTCCTTTCTTTTGAAACAGTCTTTCTTTTCAATTTCTTATCTATCTATCTATCTATCTATCTATCTATCTATCGTTCTGTCTATCGTTCTTTCTATTGCCCTCTGTTCATTACTATCTATCTTTCTATCTATTGTTCTGCCTATTCACTCATTCCATATCTACGTATCTATTTCACTCTTTTTCATATATATATATATATATATATATATATATATATATATATATATATATATATACAGTGTAACCCGGATATAAGAGAGATTTTCTCTGGTCCCAAATTAGAGCCTGTGTTAATGTATATAAAATAGACCAAACCCGGATATAAGAGAAACCCGGATATAAAAGACTTCTTCTCCGGTCCCGACAACTCTCTTATATCCGGGTTACGCTGTATATATATATATAGAAATATAATTCTATTTCATTCTTTTTATATCTATCTTTCGTTCTATCTATCGTTCTATTTCACCCTTCTTGATCTATCTATCCATCTATCTATCGTTGTGTCTATTTCCCTCTGTTTATATCTATCTTTCTATCTATCGTTCTACCTATTTCACTCATTCCATATCTATGTATCTATCTATTTCACTTTTTTTATATATATATATATATATATATATATATATATATATATATATATATATGATAAATATATAAAATATATATATATACATAATTCTTTTCATATCTATCTATCTATTCTGAATTCTTTCTCACTCACTCTCCCCCTCTCTCACTCTTTATCTTACCTTACTCTTAAAATTTGTTTTCTGCCTCTACCACACACACACTATCTTTTTATATATCGCTCCCCCTTTTTATCTATTCTCCTTCCCTTTCTGTGTCAGTTATCGTTCAATATCGTCCTTTCTTTTGAAATATTTTTTTTCTTATCCATTTATCTATCTATCCATTTCCTTTTTCGTCTTTATTCTCTCTTACGCTCTCTCTCTCGCTCTCTCTCTCTCTCTCTCACTCTCTCTCTCTGTATCTATCTATCTATCTATGTGTCTGTCTATCTATTTTTCCTCCCTTTCTCAACCAATTTTGATTGTCTTTTCTTTTGAAATACACTTTCTTTCTCACTTTCCTATCTATCTATCTATCTATCTATCTATCTATCTATCTATCTATCTGACTTCGTTCCTTATCTATCTATCTATCTATCTATCTATCTATCTATCTATCTATCTATCTATCTCAGTCCGTTCATATCTATCTATGCCTCTCCAATATCTATCTATCTATCTATCTATCTATCTATCTATCTATCTATCTATCTATCTATCTATCTATGTGTCTGTCTATCTATTTTTCCTCCCTTTCTCAACCAATTTTGATTGTCTTTTTCTTTTGAAATACACTTTCTTTCTCACTTTCCTATCTATCTATCTATCTATCTATCTATCTATCTATCTATCTATCTGACTTTGTTCCTTATCTATCTATCTATCTATCTATCTATCTATCTCAGTCCGTTCATATCTATCTATGCCTCTCCAATATCTATCTATCTATCTATCTATCTATCTATCTATCTATCTATCTATCTATGTGTCTGTCTATCTATTTTCCTCCCTTTCTCAACCAATTTTGATTGTCTCTTCTTTTGAAATACACTTTCTTTCTCACTTTCCTATCTATCTATCTATCTATCTATCTATCTATCTATCTGACTTCGTTCCTTATCTATCTATCTATCTATCTATCTATCTATCTATCTATCTATCTCCGTCTTTCATTTTCTTCACATCTTTATCTCACGTCTCTGTCCCTCTCTTAAGTATTTACCTGTGTCATATCAATCTTACCGTTATTTCTTCCAATCTTTTTTGTCCGACCATGTTTTTTTATCAAAAATGTTATGTAAACGTGTATGAGTTTTATGTGCGAAAAATGAATAAGGTATGTCTTCATAATAACTATAATACCTCTGCTAAGGGGTCACCAGTTTAAGTACTGATCAAGCTCGACGTTGCTTAACTTCAGTAATCGTACGAGAACCGGTTTCCACGTGATATTTCCGTAAACTCCAATAATAATAATAATAAAGTACCTCCTTATTGATATGGCAGTCCCTGCAGACTGCCATGTATCTTTGAAGATCTTCAAAAAAACTATCAAAATACAAGAACCTTGAAATCGAAATCTCAAAAATGTGGCATATGGGAACATCAAAAATCCCTGTTGTAGTTGGAGCCCTCGGATTGGTTGGAAATAATTCCAGTAGACTAATTGAAGGGATTCCTGGAAGCCCATGCCTTAAAGAAGTACAAAAAATTGGCCTCACGCGTACAGCCCAGACATTACGAAGGGCTTTATCTATGCAAAATATGAGTGTGTTTTTTTTCGTTTTTGTTTTTTTAATTTGTCAGTGGAAAATGTCATGATGCCATTTCTAACCTTAAGTCTCTGGCCGGGACCCAGAAAGAAATGTGTTCACTCCAGAAATCAAAGGAAATAATAATAATAATAATAATAATAACTAGAAATATACGAGAAAGTTTCACGGTTTTCATGTTTTAATTTTTCGATAACGACTGAGTAAGCTTATGTCGAGTTCTACAACAATTACACATCAATAGAAATTCCCCTAATGCATTGTTAAATATTTGAGTTTAACAAAAAATCATAAATACGAATGCTGGTCAGTAAGGGGGTACAAATGAAAAGATTTGAAACTGGAAATTTCCATTGAAATGGACATTAAACACTTCTTTCTTCCTTCTCTAAGTGGAACCAAATACCATCTTTGATATGTCTTTGCCGTCTTTCCACTCGATAAAAATAGAATAGTCCATTAATTATTAGGCATTGCCAAGTGACATTAAACACTTCTGTCTTCTTTCTTTCTTTCATTTTCCTACTGAAACAAATAGTGCTTTTGATATGTCTTTGCCGTCTATCCACGCGATCAAAACGGAATTGTCCATTATTGGTAAGACTTAATGGTCGCGCTAACCAAGGGAGGGACAAGTAGAATTATAATAACCCTAGTATAATATATATCTTTCTTCACTTTAATAACTTCTCCTTTCTCCCTCTTCTTCTTTTACTCTCTTTCTTTTATCTTCTCTTTTCTTCGCTTTTTTTTCTTCTCTCTTTTTTTCTTCTCTCTTCTCTCAATAAATTCTATTTCTTCTCTTCTTTATTACGCTCTTTGCCCTCTCTTTTTTCTTCTCCCTATTTCTCTCTCTCTCTCTCTCTCTCTCTCTCTTTCTTTTTCTCCCTTTGCTGTATCTCTTTTTGTTTTCATTCTCTCGAACTCTTGTTTGACTTTTCTTTTCATTCCTTATTTTTCTATTTTTTTGTCATTACATGTCAAATGACTGATGGTACTTTTAGTCCTAATGTCACGGCCGCACATAAAAGGGAGGTTTGCCATATTACCCCCCTCCCCCCCCTTAGCTCAAAGTAATCAAATCCCGCCAGTACTTTATCTACTGTACTTACACATTTCAGCAATTCACGCCTGTGGGGCATACTTGACCCTCGTGAGGTACTCAACGCGTATGGTGAGGCGGGTGTGTTGGGGGGGGATGGCGTTAAACGAGATAAAGATCACCGAGACCAATGCAAACATCGAAGTCATTGCAGAAATCTTCCTTCTTTGTTTTTGTTAATGCCATATACTTTCAAGATGCAAGCGATCATGGCTCTCCACAGATTCCATTTCTTTATTACCAGTGAAGTGTCATGTATCCTTAGGAAAGATAATTGTGCATTTATGCAGCAATCCTTCATTTATGCATGTTTCATTAAAAAAAAAAAAACGACAGACAAGGTACTACGATTAAGCTTTTTATTTAATTTTTCTTGTGTTCGAACAAGTGCTTTCTTATTTTGGACACAGGGTGTGTAGAAACTGTCCAAATGTTCTATAATGCCGAGCGCTTTCGGCTATACCTTTAGCCATTATCAAGGAAGATTTTATTTTATCAGTTTAATTAAGTGCGTGTGTTGTGTGTATGTTTTTAGTTTTATAGAGATGTTTTATTTTCCGAACACAGTTAGCACATTGTGGCCATGTTCGTAGTTAAAGCTATTAAGTGTTGGCTTTTTTTATTATTAAGGCTACCATGATTTTTAATCTTTTTTTACAGGTGAAGGAGATTATTATGTTTTTGTTTTCTACTAGTATGTTACGAATGCAGTCTGGTAGGTTTGTGTGTGTGTTTAAATGGGTTCTAATGGAGCTATGGTCAGATAGGTGTGACGTAAAGTGTATCTTAGTAATGATAGTGTACTGGCTTCACGTTGCTTTCTCCACAATTTTGAGCTCAGAGTTCTCCTTCTCTTAGAATGACTACCACCCAAGTCTAGATAGTTCAGTCTACCCTGCTATTTTACGCCTAGTTGGAGAGGGACGATTCCGAAGGTGAAATGACTAAATACGGTGTACAGTACTCATTCCTCTACCATTCCCATGGAAAGTGTTCAGATGAACTACATTCCTTATTTCTACCAGTCCTAACCTTTACGGCAAAGATTCACCATGCCACGCAGATTGTATCAAACCACCCGACGTTCCTTTCGTATTTCTTTCCACTGAAGAAGCTTCTTTCCACGAACAACTGCTTTGTGGATCCAACTCGGAAAAGGATCCTTCCTCAATCACTACAATCTTAACCTGTTCAAGTTTATTTTTTTCTTTCTGTGTAACCTTCGACCTCGAGTGGCTCTCGGAACTTGTACAGGGTGAACATCATTATAAAAAAAATATAATTTTGCTATTTCATTTTTTTCGTCCCAAGTAAGGCGGAAATGCCACTAAGGCACAAAGAGTGATAATGGATGTGAAAGAAAATGAAAAGACTTAAGGAGAAAGAACTGGAAACCAACCTAAACAAGAAAAAAAGGGATAAACCTTTACTCCGTCATCTTCCCAAGTATCCCCATAAACTGTGCCTCTTACTCTTTTTCTTAATCTATAAACGTCTACCTCGAGTGGCTCTCGAACCTTGTACAGGATGGACATTATTGTAAAAAACAAAAAAAAAACAACACAGCCGTCCTCTGCCTTGAAGTCACACCTTGACGACGGACACGTGGCTGTTGATTTTATCCGTCTAGAACAAGGGCCGGCAATCTTTTGCTAACTATGTGTTGACTTAGGATTTTAAAATCATTCAGTTTGCCAACAGCGTACGTATTTTTATACAAGTCAAGGTCAATATACCTGTTCTACAATATATTTTATATAGTAATATAGAATATATATACTTTAGTATATATTAAAATTGAAACAGATAAATATCTTTGCGTTGTAGTAGTTATTGGTTCAGACTTTATGATGTCATTCGCGGCTGCGTGCCATTGGAAACCCTGCGCTTAGCGATGATTATCGATCACCGCACTGGTTGCTTATATCGCTATGGAGTCCATTCTTCCCCATAGGGATCGCGATGACTGTTGATTCTACAAGAAGAATCATCTACTCTTTGACAGGAACCTGTGAGAAGTTATTCAATGCAGAACTCAGTCTCTTACCATCGAGATTTCAAAACCAACAAAAAAAAAAGACTTCACAGATACAATAATTACACAAGCATCAGGATAAAGGTTTCAAGCAAAGCGTAGGGATTCAAACTGCAAAGATGGCGACACAAGAATCGAAGAATTCGTGAAATAAGGAACAGACATCATCTCAGAACTTCAGACAAGAAGCAAATGAATGACAACTTGTTTTATCATTTGCTGTGGTTCTACAGAAGGCTGCTGAGAATACCCCGAACGGAGTATTGTAAGCAACGAGAAAATCTTAAGGAAATTGAAAATGTATTTGTATAGCTGGCCACTCGTATTCGAAGATACCTGTCTACTAGGGCGGCTAGCCAATCCCTATTGCAGACGCTCGCTCAGGCGCATTTGTGTTTATTCAACACCCACAGAGGCCACCCGTGGTTTATACTTCAACTATGCTGAGCAGACCTTAGTTACAGTTTCTGAGAAATAGACTGTTATCTCGTGTGATCAACAATTTGAACAAGGCCATCACGTTCAAGCCCTCGGCCACGATGACTTGTGACTTCGTGCTAGCACAGCTATCGACGTTTACCCAATTTCACTGACAAGGCTTAGTTCAACCCGTGCTACGGTTTTCAGGCATTTTCCAAAGGTGTCGCACGCTGGGGATCGGCCCCTCCAGTCCAATAACATTAGGAAGTTTTCTTCCCGACAAATCGACTATGGTGAGATTCGAACCCGGGTCTCATTGTCAGAATGCGAACATTCTAACAACTCGGCCTCTCGGCCAGGTGACCATATTGAAAAAAAAAGATCAAATTGAAAATAAGATGCACAGTTATACATAAAATCTGAAAGTGACAGCTGATATAATGAGAAATGCAGGCATAGAAAATTTGACACTCACAAGGACATATCGAATGCAAGAGAGGCAGAAAAAAGAAGTGAGTGACATGTTTGCACAAATGGATCGCAGAACAAGGAGGTGCGGATAGTAAAAAGATAAACATAGTTTAGAGTTTAAGATAGGAAGTTGTGGAGGACCATGACTGCCCACGTTCCGAAGAGACAAGGTACACAGAAGTTATCATTTGCAAATATTTTTCTTTTTATTAACATAGGAAATTCTAACTATGAGACAATGGTCTTTTAAATCTTTTTTTTTTTTTTTTTGTGGTAACGAACATGACCTGCCCGACACACCTGTTGAAGCAAGTTCTCTTTTTTTAACTATTGTGTCGTCTGGTAGATCCTCAAATTTTCGGTGCGTCATCGATAGATGAAAGGGCCGACATTATTTACTAATTCATCGTTTTTTTTTCTCTTCTTTTATTTATTTCTTTTTTTCTTTTCTTTTTTTCTTTTTCAAACTAAAGCATTGTCCGCCATTTTTTTTTCTGCGCAGGTCTGCCATTTTTGAACTGGGTGTGACACGGATATTAGGAATTATCAGAATTTAAAATCGTTTACGAAGGCAAAGCGATTATTTATTGTGCAGTGGTTGGAGTGCTGCTTTGCTTGTTTACTCGATTGTTCTGTTATTTATTGGATGATTTTCTTTTACAGAACAACCATTCAAAAAAAAAGCTAAGTTTGGTCTCATAAATTATCGGCTCAGTGACAGAATACGTTAAAATAAAATGAAAGTTTTTCTCAAAACCACGGAACAACATCAAACCAATTATCTGAAATGTCTGACCTCTGCAATAAAGAAGGCGTTATACTATCTTTCTTCTTCTTCTTCTTCTTCTTCTTCTTCTTCTTCTTCTTCTTCTTCTCCTCCTTCTTCTTCTTCTCCTCATTCTTCTTCTTCTCCTCCTCCTCCTTCTTCTCATCCTTCTTCTTTTTCTTCTCATCCTTCTTCTTTTTCTTCTCCTCCTCCTCCTTTTTCTTCTCCTCCTCCTCCTTCTTCTTCTTCTTTTTCTCCTCCTCCTCCTTCTTCTTCTTCTTCTTCTTCTTCTTCTTCTTCTTCTTCTTCTTCTTCTTCTTTCTCGTTTACTTACTCCGCCTTCTACTTTTTTACTTCCCCTGAATTCTTGTTCCTGTTCTGCCTCTTGCTTCTGATTTCTCTTCCTTTTCAATTTTTATCCTAGTCTTTCCACCAAGGTTTTCTTCTATTTTCTTCCTTCCATTCTTCTTCTTTTTCTTCTTCTTCTCCTCCTCCTCCTCCTCCTCCTTCTTCTTCTTCTTTTTCTCTCTTTTCCTTCTTTTAAAGCTTTCTTTTCTTTTTATTTTTTTTCATTATTTTCTGAATTCTTATTTTTTTCCTTTACGTCTTTCTAGCTTTTACTTCGTTCTTTTTTTCTTTTTCTTTTCCGTCTATTATCTCATCTTCTTCCTTCTTTTTTCTTTCTTTCTTTTTCTTATCTTTTGCGCCTACTTCTTTTCCCTTTCTTTTTTCTTTTACTTCTGAGTCTTTTTTATTTATTGTCACGCCTTTTATTTCTTGTTTAATTACTTTAACTATTTTCTTCTTTCTCTTTGTCGTTTTCTACTTCGTTTCCATTCTTCTTCTTCAGATATTTTTCCTTTCTTTCTTTTTACGTCTTCTTTGTCCTTTTCATTGTTTACTGAATAATCTTTCTTCATTTACATATGTTATTCTTAGCACCCTTTCTCACATCTTTCTCCTTTTTTGTTTTTTTCTCCCCCCTTCTTCTCCTCCTCCTTCTTCTTCAGCTATCTCCTCTAATTTTCCCTCTTTTTGATTAATTTTCTTTTCGCTATCGACTTAGCAAATGTAGAATCTACTGACCTGCGCACAATTCCGTCTTTGTGCCGAGCACGTCAACAAAAGATTAATGCAACAACGATACGCGTTCTTTTATTTATTCTTCTGGGTCCCATCAAAATATACTAAACAACTGATTAACGTGTTTCTAAGCAAGAAGACGAGCGCATTTATTCAGATCTCTTCCCAATCTTTTCCTAATATGCTGAAGAGAATTCTTT